CATTGCTGCAGGACCATAAACCACAGACTGACAGATACAGTCAATGTTGTACTTACGGAAGACATTGATAGATGCATTCTTTATTTCCTTTCCACACTTATTCTCTGCTTCACATCTATAGTCTCCAGAATCACTTCTTTTGATATTGGTGAAGTTCAATATGTTTCCATCACTGCGTTGATCATTGCTCTCTTTAATCCAAGTGACAGTTTGACATTGGATTCCCAGATACCTCACAATTCAGGTTATAAGTATCACCTTCAATCACTGTATTTGAAGAGCTGACAACTCTGACAACAGATGCAGAATCTACAAATAAAAATAATTTACATTCATCAGTGATATAATAAATTCCAGTGGATCGTAATGAAATTTACATTATATAATTTGCTGTGTAAAACTCGCGCCGTGATTGGTTTAGGACTGTCATTTTATTTGGGTGCATGAAAACGCTGTGGCCTCAACTGTTGACAACATTTTATCGGCTTATTTAGCGTACATTCAAGTGAAAATCCGAAGCGAATATATCCGAAATTATATAAAACGAATAGATTCTATTTGGCCGTGTGTCTGTACTCTAATAGAGTACAGAAGACGTCAAAACGTGACACGAACAACAGTGACCCACTCGACTGCGTCTCGTGGGCCACTTTAGTTGTTCTTGTCACGTTTTGACGTCATCTGTACTCTTCTGTAATCTATTAGAGTACAGACGCACGACCAGATATAACATATTTGTTAAGCTTTAAACGGTGCTCGTTGTTGCACATTATGGACTCGGATGGTCTTCTGGAGCGGAAAAAATGTCCAAGAATTCGTCGCGGCTATAGAATTTCAGGAATTGATGCACGAGGGATATAAACTTAGTGCTCTGTACTGTGCCACAAAAGAAGCGGAATTGCTAAACAGCCTGTCAAAAGGAACATTGAATGTTTCAAAATCTCCGAAAATAATCCCATCAAGAATGTGTTCATGTTTATTTGTTTTACCTGTAAGAGCCTTGATTTGCAATAATTGTTTGAAAGGACCTATGACGTAGCACTCTTTTACTGTTTTTCAAAACTCAGGGCATTGTGTTACCTTACACAAGGTGTTTACAATACCGCTAAAACGTCATGCACACTTTGTGGACATATTTTTATAGTACCTCTAAAGAATGAAATATGTTCACTTACATCCTACTATCACTTCCACTGTGCGATTAACAGGATCACCAACTCCATTGTAAGCTGTACAGCGGTATGTTCCACTTGAGCTTCTCTTGACATTGCTCATGACATAATTCCCATCCACTACTTGCAGTTGTTCACTGTCAGTACCATTTGCCCAAACTCTTGTCCAGGTGATGTTTGGTGTTGGTTTACCAGTTGCATTACAGTGAAGAGTAACCATAGGGCCTTCACAAGCATCCTGATTACTCACATTTCCAATTTCAGAGAGTTCTGTAAAACAAAATGATTTATAAATTAACAATAACGATATCGAATCCAACATTGCTTAAGAAAAGAAAAGCCACTAACTACAAAACTTAATATCTGATGCGTTACAAATTATCATGGCCGATTTATGTTCTACGATTTTAAGTTCACTTATTTCCTTGCACACCTCAAAATTAAACACTATCCACGAGATTAACGAAGCCCTGAAAAACGGCTATATCTCAGTGACAAGATGTTTATTAACTAGAAATTACATCAGTGTGCATTAGTATAAATTGCTATTAACATCAATTATCGCATTCAGGTCCGTAGACAGGATTTTGAATGGGGGGGTGCGTTAGAGTGGCTAAGTTGGGGTCGTACGAGCGCCGAAGGCGCGAGCTACTAGGGGGGTCTGGGGGCATGCCCCCCCGGGAAATTTTGAAAGATTAGGTTGTCTGAGACTGCATTTCGTGCGTTTTGAAGGCAGTATGATATGAAACCAGGCAGCCAAAAGCGAACGTAAAAACATGAATATTTCTGGAACTGTTCAGTTAAAGAAAATACCGATGAAAGAATACTAAAAATACATAATGCGGACCTTCGATTAAGACATTTTTAAGCCAAAGGAGGGAATATTTGGATGAAGAAAATGACTCGCTTGATTTTGTCTGTGTTGATGAAGACGATATGTAAACACGTTCAAAGCTGCGATTGTTTGATTCAGACTTCATTGTCAAACTACACCTGTCCAGTTATCGAATTAGAGCAGAAGCACTAAATATTTCACTACTATTTCACTTTCTTTTGAACCGTTGGTCCACTGTAGGTGGACCTCCACAGCCCGTGGGGGGGGGGGGGGGGGGGCTTATGCCTATAAATAAGAGACGTCTAAATTATATCAAAAGAGCTAAGTTGATTTTTTTAGTTTTTATTAAAAATGTATTTATAGACCACAGGTCGCCCAAGCTAAAGATAAGAGAACAGGTCGAACAGTGTCACGGTATAAACGGTGACTGACTTTAATCTAAAAGTAAATGCCTTGTTCTTCAGCCCGAACGGATTAAAACGCAATTTCTACGCTGTTGAGTATCTCCAAGATTTAGATATTTTTCTTCTCTGCTTGCTATTTTCGAAAACATTGATTTAGTCCGATAAAATATCTGCTTTCAGACGGACGGATCCAGGGGAATCGGGAAACGTGAGTGTCGAACTGACGAAAGTTTATCTGCAGTTAGAACGGCATTTGGAAGCCGAAAAAACAACCAGAGGGAACATTCGTTATCGGAGATTACACTGGTGGAAGTTTTGAGGCGATTTGAGCATTTTAACGGAATTTATCGATATTCGAGTGATTGGATTTGAAATCTTCCTTCCTGCCTTCCCTAATTATATTAACGGAAAACCTCGAAAACTAAAACTCGCCTAAATCGCCTCAAACCGGCCTGAGAAGCTGGCAAACTACAAAGAATACAACACAGTAACAGGGTAAGTCGTTTTTATTCACAAAACATTCGATTTTATATCTTCTAAAACATAACCGTTGCGTTCCCATACAAACCCTTATAAATCGAGCCGTTGTAACACAATACCGAATATACCGTGATACTGTTCTCTTATCTTTAGCTTGGGCGGCCTGTGATCAAATGGCTTATCAAATGGTGAACTGAGAGGAAGCATTTATTTATTCCTTAACTAAAAGTTTGTGCATGGTTTCACGAAAGAAAATCAAAAGTTTCTGCTTCGAAAGCAAACAGGATTTATTTCAATAATATATATGTCTGCAAGTCCTTCTTGTCTTGTTGTGTCTTATGGTAATTTACACAGTAATTTTATTCTTAGTTTTTGTTTGCGTTTAATATGTAAACATTATGGGCCGATTATTTAAACGACGTTTAGACATCGCTTAAGAAAGTCTTGGTCTAAACCTGGTTTAAACCGGGAACCGGATTATTTAAACGTCCTTTATTTTAAACCTCGCCTAAGCGGTGTCTAAACACAGGCTAACAAACAATAGCAACTTAGACCTGGTCATGAGTAGGTTTAGACGTAGTCTAACGCTTTTATTAGTGAAGGTTTGTGTCATGGATGGAAGTTCGATGTATAGAACGTTACAGGAATAGGCTAACAAGCCGAGTCCGAAGAATCAGACAGTTGAGGAATAGTTTAAATCCGCTAGAAGAATACGAAGATGACAATTTCCCTTACCGTACAAAACAGTCTAATTTCCGTCGACGGTTTAGGCTCAGGAAAGAAGCAAGTTTAATAGTGGATATTTATATCATACTAAGTGTCCAAGAAAAAAAGTTTAGTTCAATAGCATGTCCTTATTGTTCCAATGAAAACCAATAAGTATCTTCAAAATTATTTCGTAAGTCATTAATAAAAATAATCCAATAGTTCCCTGTAGAAAGCAGGTAATTTTTGGCTAACATTATTTACGTTATAATTGCACTTCAGGATGAAAGATATCCCATCAAGTTTTGCGAAGAAAAAGTTTTGAATTGTTTTCCATGTGTTATCATTACAGCGATTATAGCGTAGAAAATTGCGCAAATCCGACTAAGCAAAAACTCGAATTTTTAAAGCGCGGTTTGAGAAAACAATAGCTAGACTTGTTGAACCACGTTTAGACGTGGCCTCCGTGAAATGCGGCTAATCCGCGTTCTAATAACGCAATTTAGACTCAGCTTAGCCGTGGTCTATGGAAGCCTTGTCTAAACCTCGATTTAGCCTTAAACCAAGTCTAACTTAGACTTCGTTTAAATAATCGGCCCATATATATTAGTCTACATGACAAATTTGCATAAGTTTGATTTGTCTGAATCTCACGACTCACAAAAAGTCCATAATTCTAGATCACTTCACTGTCTGATGATTGTTCGAAGTTCAGATGACATGCCTAACACGTGTCATGAACACAGCTGTAATAAAATTAAAAGTAAATAAATGTCACACAATACAATGATTTTTTGTCTAATATGTGTAATTTATAAGTGACGCCTCGTGATTTTTTTCCGTGTGAAAAGGATAGTTTAAAATAGGGCACTGAGAGGACTATCAAATACAGTGTTTTTGTCACCGAATGATTGTCTGTTACATTTTTTTTAATTTAACAAAAAAGAAACTAAAATATCTACCCTGTGTAGGACAACACCCTCTATTTTAGGGCCCTGCGGGAAAAAGGATTAAACAAAAAGGATTCTGACAACAATCTTGGCCTGAAAATTATCTGATGTTGACTCATGACCTACTACTGGTTTCAAAATTTAATCCTCCCCCACCCCCCCCCCCCCCCCCCCCCCCCCCCAAAAAAAAAAAATAATATTAAAGTGAAACTTTTAAACCCCCTCCTCCATCTAAAACTGCCACCCACGTAATGAACGATCGCTCCCTAAATACGTTTTTGAATCTGACAATAGTGCCGCACTTCGATATCACGCCAGTCATTGAACTGTAACTGCTTTTTGCTGAATACTAGCTACAACATTGACCTACAAACGTTTTACCACGGCACGAGTTCAAGCTGTGTGCAGCTTCTTGTTGTAGTATAAACTCACAATTGACCTGCACCCAATGTGTGGCTTCATAGATCAGTTGGTATAGAGCATCGATCGCACTAGTAACGCGGAGGTCATGGGTTCTAATCCCGTTGAAGCCTGAATATTTTTCTGGCTTAAATTGCAATTGCAAAAGTTGCGTTCATAACTGCGATGATCACTTATTCATTTAATTTCATATCTGCAGTTGGCATAATTATTATATGATTTCATTCATATATTCTTCGTCATAATAATAGTAACTATTAATAAATGTGTAAGAGCCAATATAAACTCTAAAACGTACCTAAAACTGTAAGATTCACTTCGTGATCAGCAATAGGATTCCCACCCAATTGTAATTTAAACTCAATCTTGTACGTTCCTTCATCTTCTCTCCTGACATCATTGATATGTAATGTGGCTGGATCATGTCTATCCACCACAATACGTGGTGTATGGGGTTCATTATAACTTATCTGGTTAAAATCTATGCTGAAGCCTTTTAGTCCAATCGTATTGTAATCTGAACTTGACTGAGTTAGCCTTGTCCACTTAATGTTATAATATGTCTGACTCTTGAGCAGTTCATCAGCAGTGAGGGAGTAATTCCATGTTAGTGATTCATCTTGTCCTTTTATTGCCAGTGTTGGGTTGGTCGGTTGTGCTGTCCAGTTAAATGACACTGTAATTAAAATATACAAAGCTTATGAAAAGAACCTTTCTGTTAAAATTGTGTATTGAATATACTCACTTGTAAATAATGAAAAATTTGACGCCATTCTGGCGTCGGCTTGTTTCTATGGATATAAATTATTGTAGTTTACTGTCTCATCATGTCGCGCGGGAATCTTCCCCGCTGTCTCATGAAAAAGTCATTTTGAGAATTAATTAGAGACTCGAATCATAGATTTCGAAATTTGTTGAAAAATTTCTGATGTTAGTCGTGACGACCCAAATAACGGCTGCGACGGTGACTGACTTTATTGGTGTTTATCCTCAACTGGTCGGGGACTGTTTGGGGGAACATGATGTACTGACTAGTGGATGGTGACATATTTGTCCCCAATGTTACTAAGCAACATGAGGTATCGTCCTGTACCCGCGCAAAAACATGATTCGGTACCTCTAGATATGAAATAATGAAACTTATTATATAGACACGAGTGTTTTACTGGAAAATAGACCACTCGTAAAATTCATACGAAACTACATCCGGGACCGAGTGGCGTATTTTCCATATCCTCACTAGTGAGGATATCGCTGACGTCATTTCCCGCTTTTGCAGGGTTGTTTGTGCAAAGCTGCCAAACGCCGGTTGAAAAATGGCGAGCGATAGATTCGTGAAATTCACTGAAGCCGACATGAAATCGTTCACTGAGGAATAGGAAAATGTTAACACGAAGACTTAAAATTATTCAAGGCGTTCCTTGCAAGTGAAGGCGAAAGGAGAGAAATTCACCGAGCTGCAAGAGTTCGCGATAAAGTTTGTGCTTTTGTCATTTGTCTATATAATAAAAATAAAATTACACGGTGGCTTGAAGATATGAATTTTATTTTCTCGTGTTAAAAACAATATTTTACTCATTCGCTGCGCTCATTCGTAAAATATTGTTTTTACCACTCGAAAATAAAATTCATATCTTCGCGCCGCCGTGTAATATCCTCTATATATTTTTTATTGATAATACAAGAGAAACTCGCTCAGGCAAGAAATTAATTAGGACTGAGTTATCTCAGTCCTGACAAGTGCTTCACGTGCTGCGTGAAGAATGATTTGTTGCACTCGGCTATTACCTTAATACTACAGAATGACGCACCGACTTCAGATTCGGAGACTTAAGTCGGAGTGCAATCATTTAATCGGCCATTTTGTGTAACTGTTGGACTTGCGTTACTTCGCCTCAGACATCATCGCCTGGTAAAGTGTGCCCAAGATCAACATTCTGAAAATTGTATTTTGAAACTAATACATGAACTTGTATGTGAAAGTGAAAACATATTCGACAGTTAGCTGGTTAATCGTCAGCTGACTTAAATTGTCTTCTCTGTCAAGTCAATTAAGTTTGGGGAGGAAATGTTGTGATTATTAGCATCCTTTAATAAATCAATTTAGAAAGATCGACGGACTCCTGATTTGACAATATGTTCAGTTGTAATGATATAAAACCCGGGTATCACACATTTATACGTGAGGCTTTCAAGTATTATGATGTAGGTCGCCTTGAATATATTTCATTTATAACGTTTGCAAAATCCCATGCCCGAGCGTCTCAAACACGTTCAAACACAAAATATCTACGCTACCTGATAGTTCTGTAAAGCCCAGAATAATGATACCAATAGCTTTCCACCATCCATACTGGGCATACTGCTTTTCCATTACAAAGCGCTTAATAAACTGAACTAACGCGCTGATACGAAGAAACTTCCGCAGCCATTACAAATTCATGAATGATCATGAATAGTGAATACGCTTTGATTGACCTTTCGGTTTCCAACGGACCGGAGAGGAATAAATAAAGAAAAGAATCACGCCACGAGACTGTTTTTTTAATAAACTATAGACAAACAACAAGTAACATAAGAATAATAAAAAAAGTAACGGTTTCCAAGTAGGACGAATAAAAAAATAACACAGAAAATATATTAAGTGTTCTATATGGAAACCCTTCCTTTATTTGCTATCATTCCTTAAAGTGCCTATAACCATTTTTTATTATTTTCTCATCTGAATGTAAACATCACCCAAGGAAATTCTGCGAAAAAAATTTCCCATTTTCAGAAAACGCGAATTGTTTATGAATGTTATAAAACTTTCAAATTTGCCGCCATTTTGGATCACCATTTGCTTTAGTCTCCCCTGGGACAGGGCTTAAAAACGGCTGGACATGCGCAGTAAGATTCTAGCTTTCTTCCCGCCATTCGATTTTCAAAATGGCGGACGACGAATCAAAAACGAACACGTCATTGTGAAGACCGTTGTGCCGCTGTTATCGCGCTGTCACTTCCACCGCTTCGTGAAAAACAACTTCCTGCCATCGACTACACGTTGATGTTGTTAGAGGAAACATCGACAAAACGATGTAGCGTAAGTCAGCCGTTATTTGTGGCCGATTTTCAGAGCTAAATTAACATTCCTTGTTCTTTGCCGGCGCAGCTTTGTGCCATATATAAGGTCGTCGCTTACTCAGTAAGCTCAGGAAAGACAAATGTTCGAGATGAATACTTTGTCCGAAACATATCAAAAATGACTTTTTTTTCGTTTCTATGAAAATTTGTAAAAGCTATTTAAAGGTGGACTTCTGCAGCGAGTCTCTTAAAGGAGGACGAAGGTTCTTTGTGTACCTATGTAAAACTAGTGAGTATGCAATCGCTACACAACTGCATATAAGCGCAATGCTTTTGTTTACAAAATAGTCTTTGCATACGACATAGCATGTAAGGTTAGGATTGTTTGCCGTTTCAGACGTTGCTAGTCGTAGTTTTGATGTATTTATTTTCGTTTATAATAGTTTGAAGTTATGTAATTTCATAAGAATCTGTAAAGAGGTATTAAAAATCATTCATTTTGCTCAAATTCACCGTCTCTTTGTGGTTTGCTTTGCATTTGCGTATGTAATATTTTCCCGCCTAAACTGCACCTACAACGCGACTGCCAAGGTCAGTTGTTGCCAGCCGGATAAAAAATGTTTCAAACGTAGCCGGGAATTTTTTATTATTTTTTCCCCAATTTAAATGTATTGTTTAAAAGCCCCACGAGCTTTGCGAAGTACCGAGTCCTCCGACTGTTGGGGAAGTGTTTTCTGTAATTCGAGAAACAGATGCACGGGCCTGTGGTTTTATTCCCGAAGCGACGCTATGTAAAAAACATCATGACGAGCAAGTCAACCGAAACAAATCTATTTGCTGTTTTCCTTTAAACGACGATAATGATTGCTGTGGTGGTTTGGTTTCATGTCCTCGGCGACTATTTAACGTATTTGATCATTTGAACGATAAAGCTTCACACATTGGTACATTTATTTGCGAAAAGCATTTGCTGTTGGTGGATAAAGACGAAAGGATTTACAAAACAGAAGGGTACATTCTTCCCAAAAAGGTAAGCGTAAGTCAAATTTTAAAATAAAATTGAACCCTCTCCCGAGATTGTTGCTTTGCGATATCAACAACAAAACGATATGAGAAACCCTTTTGACACACCCCAACATTGTCATTGTTTGTTTTTTCGGCTAGCGCTCTAGGTCTGAATCGCCCAGCCTGCCTGATTTGGGAGAACTAATTAAAAAGGTAGAGCACCTTGAAAAACAAAACAAACTATTGGAACAAAGAGAAAGGGAAGCGGAAGAAAAAAACAGCAAGCACCTGAAGAAAATTGAAGGTATGCGTGACTGTTACATCCACACAAATGCAGATTAACCAATTCCAAAAGTATTTTGAGATGGCTTTTACAGGACTGGTAGTAGTCTGATGGAGTTGATGTACAAGGAAAAAAAAACACGAACCGCTAAAATTAAAATTATATTATCACACAAATGAACTCAAAAAGAACCCATCAAAAGACACCCACTTATAAATTATTCAGTATTTGGTAAACCCTTTAAAAGATGTTTAACCGAACATAAACATGCCTCAGTGATTTTAGCACCATAACAGTACAAATATAAATAAAGAGAAAATTGAAGTTGCAATATTCACAATAATAATAATAAATATTATATTTTGGAAAAAATAGTCCTCTACAGTTGCTTCAAAATGTAATGTTGTAAACAGATCACAGCTAAAACCCTGAAGTCATCTAATATAATAGAAAGATGAATCATTTAATTGATTAATTTGCCAACAGAAATAACTCAGCAAAATGACCTTTTAACAAAAAAACAAGAACAGCAGGATGAATTAAGGAAGGAAAACACCATGCTTCAAAGGAAACTTACAGGTACACTTATGTAGATCAATTTACTCTATTCCCCACCACAGAACACACTAATAATAATAAATTGTAACAAACTCAATGTGAATATATTACTATAATGGAGAAAACAATACAGATGAAGTGGAACAGTCTCACAATTTGTCTGGGGGAGGCCCAAAACATCCCCATCCACCCGCCTTCCATGCC